TTAGAAAGATGGGACTGGCTATATCGTATAGCTGCTATATACCTGAACGTTTAGAAATGAGATAACGTTGGTGTGTTCTTCAATCTTAACTTTTAGAATTGTTATTGAGCACTGGTACATATAATAAAATTTTTACTTACTCATAGAATGTGGCTATCATAGCTATCATCATCAATAAATCAATAAAATCAATCAATAAAATTCCCTCGAATTTTTCTTTTGAGAAATAGATTTATTAAATATTATTTTCCATTTTGAATCTGTAGTCGATTTATTTTTTTTTATGAATTAGTTAAAACAAAGGATTGATGCTGGTTTCCGTGATATTTATTATGAATCCTCACATACTCAGCCCCCTCACCACGACAAGGTCTCAATCCACGAGAGGGAAATATTATAAAGCTTAATCTATATTGCACTTTATAAATAAAAAAATTATCACAATCTTTAAACAATAAATAATCTATTTCTATTTCACTTAAATATATACAATTCAAATAAATAAATAAGTTATTAAATTGATAAATAAATTAATAAAGAAATCTTAATATCTATACTTAAAAAAAATTCCATCATGATGACTATAGCTCGTTTTGTATGTAAGAGCAACAGCATTCCCCAGCTCACTTTCAGCAAAAATCCAATCAATTTGCGTCAAATGTTTCGTGGTTGCATAATTATTGATTGGAATTAGATTAAATTGATTTAAAGCTTCCTCAAGTCGATCAGTGGTTGTGGATCTGCAAATATTAAAATCTCCTAAAATAACCAATTTGCTATTATTTTCTAAGCTGCGTATCCTTTCTACGTCCGACATAACTTCATTACGAAATTGTGCTATAGGAAACGTTGGATTCCTATAAACAACAATGAAGGATGTATTAAGATATTTGAAGGCAATTGATTGGTATATAGTTCTTGAGCTCAAAGACTTATTTGTCTCAAACAAGAAAACTACATTTTCGGCAATATTTTGTTTGGCATAAATCATAATTCCATTTTTGCCAATACCATTCAATCGATTGCTATCAATTCTTCTTATTATGTCGAAACCTTGTGAAGAAAAGTCTTCGCTGGGAAGAGTCCAAGTTTCGACAAAACAAAGAAAATTTGAACAACAAATAATAGGGTCGTTAAAAATATCTTCGCGATGGCTTCGAAGAGACTCAACGTTATGGTAATAAAGGGAGATGTCTTCGTTTCTGTTAACCACAAACTCATAATGCGTAGTCAAAAACTTTTCCTCTCTTAACTTTTTAAGTTCGTCTTGGACATTTTGAGCTCCAAATCTTGTTGGAGGAACAAAGTCGCCTAGAAGAAAAAGTCCTGATGCGCTAGTGGCTCTGCTGCATCCAACATACAACGAAGCTCGCTTGATGCCTCTTTTAAGATGCACGGCGACTTTGCTATATGTTGCTCCTTGGCTTTTGTGGATGGTAATAGCCTCAGCAGGAACAATTGGAAATTGTTTTCGGTCAACAGAAGCATGCTCCGATCTTCCACATTGAAAAACTCGAGAGGCTTTTACTATTGGAGTCCATTCGGGATCGGGACTATTCCGAACCTTTGATCTGGCGATAGTGCCAACCGTGGGTTCAAAAAATTTAATCCAAAGTCGCGTTACTAAATTTAAGCCATTCACTAAGCAATGGTCAATTAGCATCAGCTGACCAGTTGCTCCATTTACAAGTCCGTCACTTGTGTCTATATTGACGGTCACCATATATTTAGCAGTTGTTTTGAGATGAAGAACATATGGCAAACCCTGTGTTTCAGAGGTTTTCATATTTTGAGCATATCTTAACGTGTTTTCCCTGTTTCGTGTAGATATGTTCGCAGTTTTCACTGTATCAACAGCAGTGGAAACCAATTCTTCCGTCCCAATTTGCGCTAGTTTTAGGGAATTGTAATTATTAACTTCTTCGTTAGAAGAAAATAAATGAATGGCATCATCAGGAACTTCGCTGGGTGAAACCACTCTTTGTTTAAGGAGCTCTATATCTGCTATTGTCATGCAAGCCTCAGATAAATGATTTAGGGCTTGAGCAAATGCATGGTCGCCTCTTTGGCGCATTATTTCTGTGAGCTCAAAATACTTAAAGTTGTTCCATAAGCTATTTCCTGCTAAAACGCTATAAGGATTAATTGTCCTCTCCGAAAATATCCAACTGTCTCCAACTGGGGAAAGCTGCTTTAGATCTCCAAAAACTATAATTGATTTTCCACCAAAACTTAAGTCAGGGCTTCGGAATATTTGACGAAGCCGTTGATCCAAAAATGAAAGCATTTTAGAACCAACCATAGAAATTTCATCAATTATAATCAGTTGGAGATCAATCAACTTGCAATGAATTGTATTTAAACTATCATTGCTTAAAGGTCTTAAGGGACCTGAAGCCTGATTAATTGGAAGAGAAAACACTGAATGTAGAGTCAGTCCTCCAATTCCAAAAGCAGCTTTTCCAGTCGGAGCACATAATAAAACCTTTGCTGAATCCGTAGCACCAGGAAGCTTATTTGCTCGCCAAGTCACAGACTGATAGATGGTAGAAATCAGTCTGCTTTTTCCTACACCGGCCCCTCCACCAACATATTCGTAAAACATATTTTTACTAACAACATTATGCATCACATGTGCATAATATAGTCTTTGTTTGTAATTAAGGGACCGAGTTAGCGAGCAAAGGTCATCATTGGAAACTAACGGGGGGAGTCTAATTAATTGAAGTTCGCCGTCTTCTTCAGGGTTGTTTATCGCATTGTCCTCCTGAAGAATATTTACGTTCCGCTCTATATTTGGTACAGCCAAAGCTCTAAACTCTTCGTCTAAAAATTGTGAGGCAGGTTCTTCCGCATCAGGAGCATTATCTCCCCTATCCTCTTGCAAATCTTCCAGAACTCTTTCTAACTCCATATCATCAAACACATCATAGTTCCTTTTCATTATCTTAATGGCTTCATGGTTTACTCGGAATGTGTTTTCAATGTCGTTGGAAAGAAGTTCAGCTTCTTCATTTCGCCAAGGATAGAAGAGCATTAAATGCTCTCGGAAATAATCGCAAGGTGAAGAGTTTATGCTAAAGCGAACCCACCTTAGAATCAGGGGATGCCTACGTTTCTTAACGCAACCAGACCCATCCATCAGTGGATAACTTTGCTCAGCAACTTCATCTTCGTCATCTACCTCCACATCATTTGCTTCATCATAGTCTTCCCTATGATTAGCGGCAGATCGTGCAATCCGCTTGACAAATCTGTACCAAGCTGCGAAATCTGCTAAACAAATTCCTTCCAACTGCTCATGCCTTTGCACATATCGGTCAAGAATATTACGCTCAAAAATATCCACCGAGTTGTTTGGAAGTCGCTCTAATTCTTCATTTGAGCGAGCCAATCGAACTCGTTTGTCTGGATGGCAAGTGTTTACAAAAATAGTACCTTCACTTGCCTCCGACATATGCAGACCCAAAATATTGTAAGCTGCTTCTTGGGCCGATATTTCTGTTGCGTTAATAAACTTATTCCCTAGGTGCTGTAATTTCCTTTTAATAGAAATATTCCCATGGCTTATTTCTGCCATGGCTTCACGGAGCAACTGCGATACGCCTCTGTTTGATTTGTTTATGTAGTTAATGATATAACTACAACAGGCGTACGCATCTAGGATAAATTGAATATCCATATTTGCTCTGTGCAAGCCTAGAATATCTCTATTATAAGCATTGAGCAGTCGGTCGGAGAATTGTCTGCGAAGAAAAATTTGTGGCTTTTTTAAGCTGGAACGTAAGGCTAGCTTGTAGGCTTCAAAATTAGTTTCAAGGTGGGACAGAAAATGATCAAAATTGTTAAATAAAGCTGCGTCTTCATTTGAAATGGTCCTTAAAGCTTCCTTAATTTTTTTAAACAAAGTTTTATGATCTTCAATATTGACTTCGTTTTCTTCTATTGGATGCAAAATAAGCGTTTCGGGCATAGGAGGATATGGCATATTGAATCGGCAGAACTCCTGTCCGCGTAACTCTCTTAGGCAAGAAGCACTATGCTTGTGGCGTTGATACTGAATTACTTCTTGTAGTTCAGTATCGTCTCCATTTGTAGTAATAAACCTATCAATAAAGTTTATTACTTGCTCGGTATTTTCGTTGTCTTCGAGCTTAGGAGCACCAGCAAGCCAGTACATGCCATGAGAATGTGGAGATCCTCTGTGCTGGAACTCGATTCTCCAATAAAAATGAGAAAGATTGAATTCCCCAAAAATATCGGTTTTGAACAATTTCATTAATTGTCGCAACCTGTAATCGAAGTATCGAGAGCACGTCACTGGATCGGATCGGATTAACCGAGCCTTTTCGGAGCTGGAAAGAGCTGCCGCTTCTTCCTCGCTTATAGCCCTATTATCCAATAGGAGAGACAGGATAACTAAAAGTTCATTCCACTTAGTTTCAGCAGCGGAAAGGGTTATAAAAAACGTTGGCAGCCCAAATTGTCGAATCATGGCTATAACTTTTTTTTTCCAGCCTCCCAATGAGCTGGTGCAGACCGTAAGCCTTTCAGGATGTGGTAGCCATCATCATGTTGCACAAGACGGTCAACAAATGATACATCCCGCAGATTACCAGCGGTAACCGCTCCTGACTTTTTGCGTAAAGCAATTGAAATTGAATTTTGTATGCGCTGCATTTCGTAAAATTTATACATGTATAAAACTTTTGGAACTACAGCGCAACGACGGTCGTAAAAACGGATTTGGGATCTGGCTTTTTTCGCATAGGTTGTATTTCCTTTAAATATTTCTCCGCAAGAAATAGTTGGAAAGGAAAGTTCCTCTGCGTCTTCGTCAAGCGTTAAGCTTGTTGGCCGACGGCCTTCACCCGGTGCCAATGCAATGCGCTGAATTGCAGTATCATTATTTTCCAATAATGTTTCATGGCCTCCGGGATTTAAATTTTCTTCGAGCTCTGAAGCATTTTGGGAGTGGTGCTGCTGGTGAAGAAGTTGCTCTACTGCTTCGCGATCAGATTCGTCCGCAATAAAAGGAATATCATTAATTCCTTGAAGTTCTGTTAGCCATGATTCGTTTAGTGAAATGTTGTGCTTTCTGTAGAGCTCGGTACTTACTAAGTACCGTACAGCTTCAAGGACCCGAGCGGGTCGAATAGTTTCAGTCATGAAATTGTGAGCGTACTCTAGTCTCCTTTTTAAATGGACTTGGATGACATGGGTAGAGTCGAAAGAGCGTGGAAGCGCAGTCACAATATCGGGAACTGAAATTGGAACATTCACCACTGCCCCTCTGATTCCACATTGCCTTTCATAGCCGAGGGAAATAATCCTCATAAAAGGGATTCTCGGTGAAATAAGGCGTTCTTCGAGGCAGGTGAGTCCATTTAAGCACTCAGGTATTTCTGGGAAATCGAACCCATTAGAAAGGCAGAGTGATGGGAGCTTACCAAGAGAAATGGCACGACGACAAGTGTGGCAAAAGTTATATTTGCCGGACGGACTGGGAAATTTTCTTGACAAATAAAAGGCGTTGCCAACGTTTAGGAGAGGAAATTTAGAGGAGATAGCCAGGATTGATAATCCACTTACCTGCGAACGGAACCATGTTCCTCCACAGCAAATACAAATAGCCGTTGGGCCTTCCTTAATGTTCCTGTGGTACAGATCCCTCGCTGATGATCGAATCCTATTTCGCTGTTGTCCTCGTTCCCGTGCCAGTTCATCCTCCGAAAGTTGAGCTCTTGCGTCCATGTTTCTTTGCGACTGCCTTTGGGAGGCATCCAGTCGATTTTGTGAGTCCATCCTAAAGTTTAATAATCGATCCTCTGCCATTTGCCGAATTTGTTCTTCCCGAATCCTCCGCTGTTGTCGTGTTTCCCGGCGTTGTGATGTGTTTATCCGTTGCTCCTGTGATCTAGCGATGGGATTTCTCCTGGTTGCTCTCCTGTTATCGGCGTCCCTTTCCCGTTCTCGCTGCCTGTCTTCCATATCCCTTCGTCGCTGTCGGTGCTCTCCAGTGTTCCTTTCCTGTTCCCTTGCACGTTCCTCTGGGTCCTCGCGATGAGCAGCTCGTGCTGCGGCGTCCCGAATCCGCTCTGAAATTCGAAATTCGGGATTGTTCCTCCGAGTGGCATGGTCAGCAGTATTTTGCACCTGCTCTTGTCGCCGCTCCTCGGTGTCTTCTCGCCGAATAGTACGCGCTGCGGCGTCCCGAACCCGTTCAGGATTTCGGTACTCCGGAATAGTCCTCCGATTAGAGTGCTCAGCAGTGTTTCGCAACTGCTCTCGTCGTCGCTCCTCGGGGTCCTCTCGACGGATCGCGTGTGCATCCATGTCCCGGATCCGTTCAGGAATTCGAAACTCCGGAAAAGTCCTCCGAGTAGAGTGCTCAGCAGTGTTTCGCAACTGCTCTCGTCTTCGCTCCTCGGGGTCCTCTCGACGGATCGAATGTGCATCCATGTCCCGAATCCGCGGAACGCATTTCTGGGTTAGTCCTCCGAGACGCATGCTCAGCAGTGTTTCGCAACTGCTCTTGTCTTCGCTCCTCAGAGTTCTGTCGACGATTCGAATGTCTTGCAGCATCCTCAATACGCTCCGCAGAACGCATTTCTGGGTTAGTCCTCCGAGACGCATGCTCAGCAGTGTTTCGCAACTGCTCTTGTCTTCGCTCCTCAGAGTTCTGTCGACGATTCGAATGTCTTGCAGCATCCTCAATACGCTCCGCAGAACGCATTTCTGGGTTAGTCCTCCGAGACGCATGCTCAGCAGTGTTTCGCAACTGCTCTTGTCTTCGCTCCTCAGAGTCCTCCCGGCGATTTGAATGCGCTTGTGCGTCCCGAATTCGTTCAAGGTTGCGAACCCTTTCACTTCTTCTCCGCTGCGCGCGGGCAGTGGAATCCTGAGCACGACTTTCCTCCCGAAAGTTAGGGTTATTGTCGCGAACATTGGCGATATGTTGAGAGTTTCGAGCTCTTATTTGGGACGCATTCCGTTCATAGCGGGCTCTACTGCGACTTAAAGCAGCTTGGCGACGTTGCTCCTGTGACAAATGTGATACACGTGGCATTTTTTATAGTGCTGTATGAAAAAATAAAAATTATGAAATGATATATATATAAAATCACCTGCATGGAATGCCATTTTATGAGAATTTGAAAGTTATTAGTAAAATGTACTTACCAAAGTTTGTGTTTCGAATAGCACGCTATTACATTTAATTTTTATCACTTGTAAAAAATAATTTGTATCACTTGTAAAAAATAATTTTTATCACTTGTAAAAAATAATTTGTATCACTTGTAAAAAATAATTTGTATCACTTGTAAAAAATATTTTTGCACTTGTAACAGACAGAGTAACGTCGTCACTCGATAATTTTTTTCATTGACTGATCTACGGAATATAGGATTTCTAAATATATAGCCAAGTTAGGTAATATCCCAAATTAAAAAGAATTATCCCTAGATCCTTTAAAGGTTCCCTAGTTTGACCCTTTTAAAAAAGGCAATAAAAAATCATGTTTTTGTATGTACCTGTGCTACCTGTTGTGCAATTTAAATGTTATGAATAATTTTGGTCCTAGAAAAGGTATTACCTGATATTGTACAGTTACAAAGCCACTCATACCTGCGTTACCGGTTGCGAAGTTCAGGATCTTTGTACAATTCCTGCCCCTTGCACGTGTTCATTGAACCAATTGAACGTTTGCCAAATTTGACCTGTTTACCAAGTTATAATGGGATAATCCCGTGGATTTCTTTAAATAAAATGTCTCTGTTATCTAAAAAGTAATGGGTTGTAAACTAAAGCATGTAAACCCAGTCATAATTTGTATGACCGTTACTGCCCGTTACTGTCACTCCCTTGCATTATAAAAGTGGCTGAAAAAGGTAGATACGTTCAATTCAAATTTTGAAGAATATAATTTACAGAATATTCTGCAAGGGTATATCAACTTCGGCTCCGCCCGAAGTTAACTTTCCTTTCTTGTTTTTTATGAATTAGTTAAAACAAAGGATTGATGCTGGTTTCCGTGATATTTATTATGAATCCTCACATACTCAGCCCCCTCACCACGACAAGGTCTCAATCCACGAGAGGGAAATATTATAAAGCTTAATCTATATTGCACTTTATAAATAAAAAATTTATCACAATCTTTAAACAATAAATAATCTATTTCTATTTCACTTAAATATATACAATTCAAATAAATAAATAAGTTATTAAATTGATAAATAAATTAATAAAGAAATCTTAATATCTATACTTAAAAAAAATTCCATCATGATGACTATAGCTCGTTTTGTATGTAAGAGCAACAGCATTCCCCAGCTCACTTTCAGCAAAAATCCAATCAATTTGCGTCAAATGTTTCGTGGTTGCATAATTATTGATTGGAATTAGATTAAATTGATTTAAAGCTTCCTCAAGTCGATCAGTGGTTGTGGATCTGCAAATATTAAAATCTCCTAAAATAACCAATTTGCTATTATTTTCTAAGCTGCGTATCCTTTCTACGTCCGACATAACTTCATTACGAAATTGTGCTATAGGAAACGTTGGATTCCTATAAACAACAATGAAGGATGTATTAAGATATTTGAAGGCAATTGATTGGTATATAGTTCTTGAGCTCAAAGACTTATTTGTCTCAAACAAGAAAACTACATTTTCGCAATATTTTGTTTGGCATAAATCATAATTCCATTTTTGCCAATACCATTCAATCGATTGCTATCAATTCTTCTTATTATGTCGAAACCTTGTGAAGAAAAGTCTTCGCTGGGAAGAGTCCAAGTTTCGACAAAACAAAGAAAATTTGAACAACAAATAATAGGGTCGTTAAAAATATCTTCGCGATGGCTTCGAAGAGACTCAACGTTATGGTAATAAAGGGAGATGTCTTCGTTTCTGTTAACCACAAACTCATAATGCGTAGTCAAAAACTTTTCCTCTCTTAACTTTTTAAGTTCGTCTTGGACATTTTGAGCTCCAAATCTTGTTGGAGGAACAAAGTCGCCTAGAAGAAAAAGTCCTGATGCGCTAGTGGCTCTGCTGCATCCAACATACAACGAAGCTCGCTTGATGCCTCTTTTAAGATGCACGGCGACTTTGCTATATGTTGCTCCTTGGCTTTTGTGGATGGTAATAGCCTCAGCAGGAACAATTGGAAATTGTTTTCGGTCAACAGAAGCATGCTCCGATCTTCCACATTGAAAAACTCGAGAGGCTTTTACTATTGGAGTCCATTCGGGATCGGGACTATTCCGAACCTTTGATCTGGCGATAGTGCCAACCGTGGGTTCAAAAAATTTAATCCAAAGTCGCGTTACTAAATTTAAGCCATTCACTAAGCAATGGTCAATTAGCATCAGCTGACCAGTTGCTCCATTTACAAGTCCGTCACTTGTGTCTATATTGACGGTCACCATATATTTAGCAGTTGTTTTGAGATGAAGAACATATGGCAAACCCTGTGTTTCAGAGGTTTTCATATTTTGAGCATATCTTAACGTGTTTTCCCTGTTTCGTGTAGATATGTTCGCAGTTTTCACTGTATCAACAGCAGTGGAAACCAATTCTTCCGTCCCAATTTGCGCTAGTTTTAGGGAATTGTAATTATTAACTTCTTCGTTAGAAGAAAATAAATGAATGGCATCATCAGGAACTTCGCTGGGTGAAACCACTCTTTGTTTAAGGAGCTCTATATCTGCTATTGTCATGCAAGCCTCAGATAAATGATTTAGGGCTTGAGCAAATGCATGGTCGCCTCTTTGGCGCATTATTTCTGTGAGCTCAAAATACTTAAAGTTGTTCCATAAGCTATTTCCTGCTAAAACGCTATAAGGATTAATTGTCCTCTCCGAAAATATCCAACTGTCTCCAACTGGGGAAAGCTGCTTTAGATCTCCAAAAACTATAATTGATTTTCCACCAAAACTTAAGTCAGGGCTTCGGAATATTTGACGAAGCCGTTGATCCAAAAATGAAAGCATTTTAGAACCAACCATAGAAATTTCATCAATTATAATCAGTTGGAGATCAATCAACTTGCAATGAATTGTATTTAAACTATCATTGCTTAAAGGTCTTAAGGGACCTGAAGCCTGATTAATTGGAAGAGAAAACACTGAATGTAGAGTCAGTCCTCCAATTCCAAAAGCAGCTTTTCCAGTCGGAGCACATAATAAAACCTTTGCTGAATCCGTAGCACCAGGAAGCTTATTTGCTCGCCAAGTCACAGACTGATAGATGGTAGAAATCAGTCTGCTTTTTCCTACACCGGCCCCTCCACCAACATATTCGTAAAACATATTTTTACTAACAACATTATGCATCACATGTGCATAATATAGTCTTTGTTTGTAATTAAGGGACCGAGTTAGCGAGCAAAGGTCATCATTGGAAACTAACGGGGGAGTCTAATTAATTGAAGTTCGCCGTCTTCTTCAGGGTTGTTTATCGCATTGTCCTCCTGAAGAATATTTACGTTCCGCTCTATATTTGGTACAGCCAAAGCTCTAAACTCTTCGTCTAAAAATTGTGAGGCAGGTTCTTCCGCATCAGGAGCATTATCTCCCCTATCCTCTTGCAAATCTTCCAGAACTCTTTCTAACTCCATATCATCAAACACATCATAGTTCCTTTTCATTATCTTAATGGCTTCATGGTTTACTCGGAATGTGTTTTCAATGTCGTTGGAAAGAAGTTCAGCTTCTTCATTTCGCCAAGGATAGAAGAGCATTAAATGCTCTCGGAAATAATCGCAAGGTGAAGAGTTTATGCTAAAGCGAACCCACCTTAGAATCAGGGGATGCCTACGTTTCTTAACGCAACCAGACCCATCCATCAGTGGATAACTTTGCTCAGCAACTTCATCTTCGTCATCTACCTCCACATCATTTGCTTCATCATAGTCTTCCCTATGATTAGCGGCAGATCGTGCAATCCGCTTGACAAATCTGTACCAAGCTGCGAAATCTGCTAAACAAATTCCTTCCAACTGCTCATGCCTTTGCACATATCGGTCAAGAATATTACGCTCAAAAATATCCACCGAGTTGTTTGGAAGTCGCTCTAATTCTTCATTTGAGCGAGCCAATCGAACTCGTTTGTCTGGATGGCAAGTGTTTACAAAAATAGTACCTTCACTTGCCTCCGACATATGCAGACCCAAAATATTGTAAGCTGCTTCTTGGGCCGATATTTCTGTTGCGTTAATAAACTTATTCCCTAGGTGCTGTAATTTCCTTTTAATAGAAATATTCCCATGGCTTATTTCTGCCATGGCTTCACGGAGCAACTGCGATACGCCTCTGTTTGATTTGTTTATGTAGTTAATGATATAACTACAACAGGCGTACGCATCTAGGATAAATTGAATATCCATATTAGCTCTGTGCAAGCCTAGAATATCTCTATTATAAGCATTGAGCAGTCGGTCGGAGAATTGTCTGCGAAGAAAAATTTGTGGCTTTTTTAAGCTGGAACGTAAGGCTAGCTTGTAGGCTTCAAAATTAGTTTCAAGGTGGGACAGAAAATGATCAAAATTGTTAAATAAAGCTGCGTCTTCATTTGAAATGGTCCTTAAAGCTTCCTTAATTTTTTTAAACAAAGTTTTATGATCTTCAATATTGACTTCGTTTTCTTCTATTGGATGCAAAATAAGCGTTTCGGGCATAGGAGGATATGGCATATTGAATCGGCAGAACTCCTGTCCGCGTAACTCTCTTAGGCAAGAAGCACTATGCTTGTGGCGTTGATACTGAATTACTTCTTGTAGTTCAGTATCGTCTCCATTTGTAGTAATAAACCTATCAATAAAGTTTATTACTTGCTCGGTATTTTCGTTGTCTTCGAGCTTAGGAGCACCAGCAAGCCAGTACATGCCATGAGAATGTGGAGATCCTCTGTGCTGGAACTCGATTCTCCAATAAAAATGAGAAAGATTGAATTCCCCAAAAATATCGGTTTTGAACAATTTCATTAATTGTCGCAACCTGTAATCGAAGTATCGAGAGCACGTCACTGGATCGGATCGGATTAACCGAGCATTTTCGGAGCTGGAAAGAGCTGCCGCTTCTTCCTCGCTTATAGCCCTATTATCCAATAGGAGAGACAGGATAACTAAAAGTTCATTCCACTTAGTTTCAGCAGCGGAAAGGGTTATAAAAAACGTTGGCAGCCCAAATTGTCGAATCATGGCTATAACTTTTTTTTTCTCAGCCTCCCAATGAGCTGGTGCAGACCGTAAGCCTTTCAGGATGTGGTAGCCATCATCATGTTGCACAAGACGGTCAACAAATGATACATCCCGCAGATTACCAGCGGTAACCGCTCCTGACTTTTTGCGTAAAGCAATTGAAATTGAATTTTGTATGCGCTGCATTTCGTAAAATTTATACATGTATAAAACTTTTGGAACTACAGCGCAACGACGGTCGTAAAAACGGATTTGGGATCTGGCTTTTTCGCATAGGTTGTATTTCCTTTAAATATTTCTCCGCAAGAAATAGTTGGAAAGGAAAGTTCCTCTGCGTCTTCGTCAAGCGTTAAGCTTGTTGGCCGACGGCCTTCACCCGGTGCCAATGCAATGCGCTGAATTGCAGTATCATTATTTTCCAATAATGTTTCATGGCCTCCGGGATTTAAATTTTCTTCGAGCTCTGAAGCATTTTGGGAGTGGTGCTGCTGGTGAAGAAGTTGCTCTACTGCTTCGCGATCAGATTCGTCCGCAATAAAAGGAATATCATTAATTCCTTGAAGTTCTGTTAGCCATGATTCGTTTAGTGAAATGTTGTGCTTTCTGTAGAGCTCGGTACTTACTAAGTACCGTACAGCTTCAAGGACCCGAGCGGGTCGAATAGTTTCAGTCATGAAATTGTGAGCGTACTCTAGTCTCCTTTTTAAATGGACTTGGATGACATGGGTAGAGTCGAAAGAGCGTGGAAGCGCAGTCACAATATCGGGAACTGAAATTGGAACATTCACCACTGCCCCTCTGATTCCACATTGCCTTTCATAGCCGAGGGAAATAATCCTCATAAAAGGGATTCTCGGTGAAATAAGGCGTTCTTCGAGGCAGGTGAGTCCATTTAAGCACTCAGGTATTTCTGGGAAATCGAACCCATTAGAAAGGCAGAGTGATGGGAGCTTACCAAGAGAAATGGCACGACGACAAGTGTGGCAAAAGTTATATTTGCCGGACGGACTGGGAAATTTTCTTGACAAATAAAAGGCGTTGCCAACGTTTAGGAGAGGAAATTTAGAGGAGATAGCCAGGATTGATAATCCACTTACCTGCGAACGGAACCATGTTCCTCCACAGCAAATACAAATAGCCGTTGGGCCTTCCTTAATGTTCCTGTGGTACAGATCCCTCGCTGATGATCGAATCCTATTTCGCTGTTGTCCTCGTTCCCGTGCCAGTTCATCCTCCGAAAGTTGAGCTCTTGCGTCCATGTTTCTTTGCGACTGCCTTTGGGAGGCATCCAGTCGATTTTGTGAGTCCATCCTAAAGTTTAATAATCGATCCTCTGCCATTTGCCGAATTTGTTCTTCCCGAATCCTCCGCTGTTGTCGTGTTTCCCGGCGTTGTGATGTGTTTATCCGTTGCTCCTGTGATCTAGCGATGGGATTTCTCCTGGTTGCTCTCCTGTTATCGGCGTCCCTTTCCCGTTCTCGCTGCCTGTCTTCCATATCCCTTCGTCGCTGTCGGTGCTCTCCAGTGTTCCTTTCCTGTTCCCTTGCACGTTCCTCTGGGTCCTCGCGATGAGCAGCTCGTGCTGCGGCGTCCCGAATCCGCTCTGAAATTCGAAATTCGGGATTGTTCCTCCGAGTGGCATGGTCAGCAGTATTTTGCACCTGCTCTTGTCGCCGCTCCTCGGTGTCTTCTCGCCGAATAGTACGCGCTGCGGCGTCCCGAACCCGTTCAGGATTTCGGTACTCCGGAATAGTCCTCCGATTAGAGTGCTCAGCAGTGTTTCGCAACTGCTCTCGTCGTCGCTCCTCGGGGTCCTCTCGACGGATCGCGTGTGCATCCATGTCCCGGATCCGTTCAGGAATTCGAAACTCCGGAAAAGTCCTCCGAGTAGAGTGCTCAGCAGTGTTTCGCAACTGCTCTCGTCTTCGCTCCTCGGGGTCCTCTCGACGGATCGAATGTGCATCCATGTCCCGAATCCGCGGAACGCATTTCTGGGTTAGTCCTCCGAGACGCATGCTCAGCAGTGTTTCGCAACTGCTCTTGTCTTCGCTCCTCAGAGTTCTGTCGACGATTCGAATGTCTTGCAGCATCCTCAATACGCTCCGCAGAACGCATTTCTGGGTTAGTCCTCCGAGACGCATGCTCAGCAGTGTTTCGCAACTGCTCTTGTCTTCGCTCCTCAGAGTTCTGTCGACGATTCGAATGTCTTGCAGCATCCTCAATACGCTCCGCAGAACGCATTTCTGGGTTAGTCCTCCGAGACGCATGCTCAGCAGTGTTTCGCAACTGCTCTTGTCTTCGCTCCTCAGAGTCCTCCCGGCGATTTGAATGCGCTTGTGCGTCCCGAATTCGTTCAAGGTTGCGAACCCTTTCACTTCTTCTCCGCTGCGCGCGGGCAGTGGAATCCTGAGCACGACTTTCCTCCCGAAAGTTAGGGTTATTGTCGCGAACATTGGCGATATGTTGAGAGTTTCGAGCTCTTATTTGGGACGCATTCCGTTCATAGCGGGCTCTACTGCGACTTAAAGCAGCTTGGCGACGTTGCTCCTGTGACAAATGTGATACACGTGGCATTTTTTATAGTGCTGTATGAAAAAATAAAAATTATGAAATGATATATATATAAAATCACCTGCATGGAATGCCATTTTATGAGAATTTGAAAGTTATTAGTAAAATGTACTTACCAAAGTTTGTGTTTCGAATAGCACGCTATTACATTTAATTTTTATCACTTGTAAAAAATAATTTGTATCACTTGTAAAAAATAATTTTTATCACTTGTAAAAAATAATTTGTATCACTTGTAAAAAATAATTTGTATCACTTGTAAAAAATATTTTTGCACTTGTAACAGACAGAGTAACGTCGTCACTCGATAATTTTTTTTATTGACTGATCTACGGAATATAGGATTTCTAAATATATAGCCAAGTTAGGTAATATCCCAAATTAAAAAGAATTATCCCTAGATCCTTTAAAGGTTCCCTAGTTTGACCCTTTTAAAAAAGGCAATAAAAAATCATGTTTTTGTATGTACCTGTGCTACCTGTTGTGCAATTTAAATGTTATGAATAATTTTGGTCCTAGAAAAGGTATTACCTGATATTGTACAGTTACAAAGCCACTCATACCTGCGTTACCGGTTGCGAAGTTCAGGATCTTTGTACAATTCCTGCCCCTTGCACGTGTTCATTGAACCAATTGAACGTTTGCCAAATTTGACCTGTTTACCAAGTTATAATGGGATAATCCCGTGGATTTCTTTAAATAAAATGTCTCTGTTATCTAAAAAGTAATGGGTTGTAAACTAAAGCATGTAAACCCAGTCATAATTTGTATGACCGTTACTGCCCGTTACTGTCACTCCCTTGCATTATAAAAGTGGCTGAAAAAGGTAGATACGTTCAATTCAAATTTTGAAGAATATAATTTACAGAATATTCTGCAAGGGTATATCAACTTCGGCTCCGCCCGAAGTTAACTTTCCTTTCTTGTTTTTTATGAATTAGTTAAAACAAAGGATTGATGCTGGTTTCCGTGATATTTATTATGAATCCTCACATACTCAGCCCCCTCACCACGACAAGGTCTCAATCCACGAGAGGGAAATATTATAAAGCTTAATCTATATTGCACTTTATAAATAAAAAATTTATCACAATCTTTAAACAATAAATAATCTATTTCTATTTCACTTAAATATATACAATTCAAATAAATAAATAAGTTATTAAATTGATAAATAAATTAATAAAGAAATCTTAATATCTATACTTAAAAAAAATTCCATCATGATGACTATAGCTCGTTTTGTATGTAAGAGCAACAGCATTCCCCAGCTCACTTTCAGCAAAAATCCAATCAATTTGCGTCAAATGTTTCGTGGTTGCATAATTATTGATTGGAATTAGATTAAATTGATTTAAAGCTTCCTCAAGTCGATCAGTGGTTGTGGATCTGCAAATATTAAAATCTCCTAAAATAACCAATTTGCTATTATTTTCTAAGCTGCGTATCCTTTCTACGTCCGACATAACTTCATTACGAAATTGTGCTATAGGAAACGTTGGATTCCTATAAACAACAATGAAGGATGTATTAAGATATTTGAAGGCAATTGATTGGTATATAGTTCTTGAGCTCAAAGACTTATTTGTCTCAAACAAGAAAACTACATTTTCGGCAATATTTTGTTTGGCATAAATCATAATTCCATTTTTGCCAATACCATTCAATCGATTGCTATCAATTCTTCTTATTATGTCGAAACCTTGTGAAGAAAAGTCTTCGCTGGGAAGAGTCCAAGTTTCGACAAAACAAAGAAAATTTGAACAACAAATAATAGGGTCGTTAAAAATATCTTCGCGATGGCTTCGAAGAGACTCAACGTTATGGTAATAAAGGGAGATGTCTTCGTTTCTGTTAACCACAAACTCATAATGCGTAGTCAAAAACTTTTCCTCTCTTAACTTTTTAAGTTCGTCTTGGACATTTTGAGCTCCAAATCTTGTTGGAGGAACAAAGTCGCCTAGAAGAAAAAGTCCTGATGCGCTAGTGGCTCTGCTGCATCCAACATACAACGAAGCTCGCTTGATGCCTCTTTTAAGATGCACGGCGACTTTGCTATATGTTGCTCCTTGGCTTTTGTGGATGGTAATAGCCTCAGCAGGAACAATTGGAAATTGTTTTCGGTCAACAGAAGCATGCTCCGATCTTCCACATTGAAAAACTCGAGAGGCTTTTACTATTGGAGTCCATTCGGGATCGGGACTATTCCGAACCTTTGATCTGGCGATAGTGCCAACCGTGGGTTCAAAAAATTTAATCCAAAGTCGCGTTACTAAATTTAAGCCATTCACTAAGCAATGGTCAATTAGCATCAGCTGACCAGTTGCTCCATTTACAAGTCCGTCACTTGTGTCTATATTGACGGTCACCATATATTTAGCAGTTGTTTTGAGATGAAGAACATATGGCAAACCCTGTGTTTCAGAGGTTTTCATATTTTGAGCATATCTTAACGTGTTTTCCCTGTTTCGTGTAGATATGTTCGCAGTTTTCACTGTATCAACAGCAGTGGAAACCAATTCTTCCGTCCCAATTTGCGCTAGTTTTAGGGAATTGTAATTATTAACTTCTTCGTTAGAAGAAAATAAATGAATGGCATCATCAGGAACTTCGCTGGGTGAAACCACTCTTTGTTTAAGGAGCTCTATATCTGCTATTGTCATGCAAGCCTCAGATAAATGATTTAGGGCTTGAGCAAATGCATGGTCGCCTCTTTGGCGCATTATTTCTGTGAGCTCAAAATACTTAAAGTTGTTCCATAAGCTATTTCCTGCTAAAACGCTATAAGGATTAATTGTCCTCTCCGAAAATATCCAACTGTCTCCAACTGGGGAAAGCTGCTTTAGATCTCCAAAAACTATAATTGATTTTCCACCAAAACTTAAGTCAGGGCTTCGGAATATTTGACGAAGCCGTTGATCCAAAAATGAAAGCATTTTAGAACCAACCATAGAAATTTCATCAATTATAATCAGTTGGAGATCAATCAACTTGCAATGAATTGTATTTAAACTATCATTGCTTAAAGGTCTTAAGGGACCTGAAGCCTGATTAATTGGAAGAGAAAACACTGAATGTAGAGTCAGTCCTCCAATTCCAAAAGCAGCTTTTCCAGTCGGAGCACATAATAAAACCTTTGCTGAATCCGTAGCACCAGGAAGCTTATTTGCTCGCCAAGTCACAGACTGATAGATGGTAGAAATCAGTCTGCTTTTTCCTACACCGGCCCCTCCACCAACATATTCGTAAAACATATTTTTACTAACAACATTATGCATCACATGTGCATAATATAGTCTTTGTTTGTAATTAAGGGACCGAGTTAGCGAGCAAAGGTCATCATTGGAAACTAACGGGGGAGTCTAATTAATTGAAGTTCGCCGTCTTCTTCAGGGTTGTTTATCGCATTGTCCTCCTGAAGAATATTTACGTTCCGCTCTATATTTGGTACAGCCAAAGCTCTAAACTCTTCGTCTAAAAATTGTGAGGCAGGTTCTTCCGCATCAGGAGCATTATCTCCCCTATCCTCTTGCAAATCTTCCAGAACTCTTTCTAACTCCATATCATCAAACACATCATAGTTCCTTTTCATTATCTTAATGGCTTCATGGTTTACTCGGAATGTGTTTTCAATGTCGTTGGAAAGAAGTTCAGCTTCTTCATTTCGCCAAGGATAGAAGAGCATTAAATGCTCTCGGAAATAATCGCAAGGTGAAGAGTTTATGCTAAAGCGAACCCACCTTAGAATCAGGGGATGCCTACGTTTCTTAACGCAACCAGACCCATCCATCAGTGGATAACTTTGCTCAGCAACTTCATCTTCGTCATCTACCTCCACATCATTTGCTTCATCATAGTCTTCCCTATGATTAGCGGCAGATCGTGCAATCCGCTTGACAAATCTGTACCAAGCTGCGAAATCTGCTAAACAAATTCCTTCCAACTGCTCATGCCTTTGCACATATCGGTCAAGAATATTACGCTCAAAAATATCCACCGAGTTGTTTGGAAGTCGCTCTAATTCTTCATTTGAGCGAGCCAATCGAACTCGTTTGTCTGGATGGCAAGTGTTTACAAAAATAGTACCTTCACTTGCCTCCGACATATGCAGACCCAAAATATTGTAAGCTGCTTCTTGGGCCGATATTTCTGTTGCGTTAATAAACTTATTCCCTAGGTGCTGTAATTTCCTTTTAATAGAAATATTCCCATGGCTTATTTCTGCCATGGCTTCACGGAGCAACTGCGATACGCCTCTGTTTGATTTGTTTATGTAGTTAATGATATAACTACAACAGGCGTACGCATCTAGGATAAATTGAATATCCATATTAGCTCTGTGCAAGCCTAGAATATCTCTATTATAAGCATTGAGCAGTCGGTCGGAGAATTGTCTGCGAAGAAAAATTTGTGGCTTTTTTAAGCTGGAACGTAAGGCTAGCTTGTAGGCTTCAAAATTAGTTTCAAGGTGGGACAGAAAATGATCAAAATTGTTAAATAAAGCTGCGTCTTCATTTGAAATGGTCCTTAAAGCTTCCTTAATTTTTTTAAATAAAGTTTTATGATCTTCAATATTGACTTCGTTTTCTTCTATTGGATGCAAAATAAGCGTTTCGGGCATAGGAGGATATGGCATATTGAATCGGCAGAACTCCTGTCCGCGTAACTCTCTTAGGCAAGAAGCACTATGCTTGTGGCGTTGATACTGAATTACTTCTTGTAGTTCAGTATCGTCTCCATTTGTAGTAATAAACCTATCAATAAAGTTTATTACTTGCTCGGTATTTTCGTTGTCTTCGAGCTTAGGAGCACCAGCAAGCCAGTACATGCCATGAGAATGTGGAGATCCTCTGTGCTGGAACTCGATTCTCCAATAAAAATGAGAAAGATTGAATTCCCCAAAAATATCGGTTTTGAACAATTTCATTAATTGTCGCAACCTGTAATCGAAGTATCGAGAGCACGTCACTGGATCGGATCGGATTAACCGAGCCTTTTCGGAGCTGGAAAGAGCTGCCGCTTCTTCCTCGCTTATAGCCCTATTATCCAATAGGAGAGACAGGATAACTAAAAGTTCATTCCACTTAGTTTCAGCAGCGGAAAGGGTTATAAAAAACGTTGGCAGCCCAAATTGTCGAATCATGGCTATAACTTTTTTTTCTCAGCCTCCCAATGAGCTGGTGCAGACCGTAAGACTTTCAGGATGTGGTAGCCATCATCATGTTGCACAAGACGGTCAACAAATGATACATCCCGCAGATTACCAGCGGTAACCGCTCCTGACTTTTTGCGTAAAGCAATTGAAATTGAATTTTGTATGCGCTGCATTTCGTAAAATTTATACATGTATAAAACTTTTGGAACTACAGCGCAACGACGGTCGTAAAAACGGATTTGGGATCTGGCTTTTTCGCATAGGTTGTATTTCCTTTAAATATTTCTCCGCAAGAAATAGTTGGAAAGGAAAGTTCCTCTGCGTCTTCGTCAAGCGTTAAGCTTGTTGGCCGACGGCCTTCACCCGGTGCCAATGCAATGCGCTGAATTGCAGTATCATTATTTTCCAATAATGTTTCATGGCCTCCGGGATTTAAATTTTCTTCGAGCTCTGAAGCATTTTGGGAGTGGTGCTGCTGGTGAAGAAGTTGCTCTACTGCTTCGCGATCAGATTCGTCCGCAATAAAAGGAATATCATTAATTCCTTGAAGTTCTGTTAGCCATGATTCGTTTAGTGAAATGTTGTGCTTTCTGTAGAGCTCGGTACTTACTAAGTACCGTACAGCTTCAAGGACCCGAGCGGGTCGAATAGTTTCAGTCATGAAATTGTGAGCGTACTCTAGTCTCCTTTTTAAATGGACTTGGATGACATGGGTAGAGTCGAAAGAGCGTGGAAGCGCAGTCACAATATCGGGAACTGAAATTGGAACATTCACCACTGCCCCTCTGATTCCACATTGCCTTTCATAGCCGAGGGAAATAATCCTCATAAAAGGGATTCTCGGTGAAATAAGGCGTTCTTCGAGGCAGGTGAGTCCATTTAAGCACTCAGGTATTTCTGGGAAATCGAACCCATTAGAAAGGCAGAGTGATGGGAGCTTACCAAGAGAAATGGCACGACGACAAGTGTGGCAAAAGTTATATTTGCCGGACGGACTGGGAAATTTTCTTGACAAATAAAAGGCGTTGCCAACGTTTAGGAGAGGAAATTTAGAGGAGATAGCCAGGATTGATAATCCACTTACCTGCGAACGGAACCATGTTCCTCCACAGCAAATACAAATAGCCGTTGGGCCTTCCTTAATGTTCCTGTGGTACAGATCCCTCGCTGATGATCGAATCCTATTTCGCTGTTGTCCTCGTTCCCGTGCCAGTTCATCCTCCGAAAGTTGAGCTCTTGCGTCCATGTTTCTTTGCGACTGCCTTTGGGAGGCATCCAGTCGATTTTGTGAGTCCATCCTAAAGTTTAATAATCGATCCTCTGCCATTTGCCGAATTTGTTCTTCCCGAACTGCGCTGTTGTCGTGTTTCCCGGCGTTGTGATGTGTTTATCCGTTGCTCCTGTGATCTAGCGATGGGATTTCTCCTGGTTGCTCTCCTGTTATCGGCGTCCCTTTCCCGTTCTCGCTGCCTGTCTTCCACATCCCTTCGTCGCTGTCGGTGCTCTCCAGTGTTCCTTTCCTGTTCCCTTGCACGTTCCTCTGGGTCCTCGCGATGAGCAGCTCGTGCTGCGGCGTCCCGAATTCGCTCTGAAATTCGATATTCGGGATTGTTCCTCCGAGTGGCATGGTCAGCAGTATTTTGCACCTGCTCTTGTCGCCGCTCCTCGGTGTCTTCTCGCCGAATAGTACGCGCTGCGGCGTCCCGAACCCGTTCAGGATTTCGGTACTCCGGAATAGTCCTCCGATTAGAGTGCTCAGCAGTGTTTCGCAACTGCTCTCGTCGTCGCTCCTCGGGGTCCTCTCGACGGATCGCGTGTGCATCCATGTCCCGGATCCGTTCAGGAATTCGAAACTCCGGAAAAGTCCTCCGAGTAGAGTGCTCAGCAGTGTTTCGCAACTGCTCTCGTCTTCGCTCCTCGGGGTCCTCTCGACGGATCGAATGTGCATCCATGTCCCGAATCCGCGGAACGCATTTCTGGGTTAGTCCTCCGAGACGCATGCTCAGCAGTGTTTCGCAACTGCTCTTGTCTTCGCTCCTCAGAGTTCTGTCGACGATTCGAATGTCTTGCAGCATCCTCAATACGCTCCGCAGAACGCATTTCTGGGTTAGTCCTCCGAGACGCATGCTCAGCAGTGTTTCGCAACTGCTCTTGTCTTCGCTCCTCAGAGTTCTGTCGACGATTCGAATGTCTTGCAGCATCCTCAATACGCTCCGCAGAACGCATTTCTGGGTTAGTCCTCCGAGACGCATGCTCAGCAGTGTTTCGCAACTGCTCTTGTCTTCGCTCCTCAGAGTCCTCCCGGCGATTTGAATGCGCTTGTGCGTCCCGAATTCGTTCAAGGTTGCGAACCCTTTCACTTCTTCTCCGCTGCGCGCGGGCAGTGGAATCCTGAGCACGACTTTCCTCCCGAAAGTTAGGGTTATTGTCGCGAACATTGGCGATATGTTGAGAGTTTCGAGCTCTTATTTGGGACGCATTCCGTTCATAGCGGGCTCTACTGCGACTTAAAGCAGCTTGGCGACGTTGCTCCTGTGACAAATGTGATACACGTGGCATTTTTTATAGTGCTGTATGAAAAAATAAAAATTATGAAATGATATATATATAAAATCACCTGCATGGAATGCCATTTTATGAGAATTTGAAAGTTATTAGTAAAATGTACTTACCAAAGTTTGTGTTTCGAATAGCACGCTATTACATTTAATTTTTATCACTTGTAAAAAATAATTTGTATCACTTGTAAAAAATAATTTTTATCACTTGTAAAAAATAATTTGTATCACTTGTAAAAAATAATTTGTATCACTTGTAAAAAATATTTTTGCACTTGTAACAGACAGAGTAACGTCGTCACTCGATAATTTTTTTCATTGACTGATCTACGGAATATAGGATTTCTAAATATATAGCCAAGTTAGGTAATATCCCAAATTAAAAAGAATTATCCCTAGATCCTTTAAAGGTTCCCTAGTTTGACCCTTTTAAAAAAGGCAATAAAAAATCATGTTTTTGTATGTACCTGTGCTACCTGTTGTGCAATTTAAATGTTATGAATAATTTTGGTCCTAGAAAAGGTATTACCTGATATTGTACAGTTACAAAGCCACTCATACCTGCGTTACCGGTTGCGAAGTTCAGGATCTTTGTACAATTCCTGCCCCTTGCACGTGTTCATTGAACCAATTGAACGTTTGCCAAATTTGACCTGTTTACCAAGTTATAATGGGATAATCCCGTGGATTTCTTTAAATAAAATGTCTCTGTTATCTAAAAAGTAATGGGTTGTAAACTAAAGCATGTAAACCCAGTCATAATTTGTATGACCGTTACTGCCCGTTACTGTCACTCCCTTGCATTATAAAAGTGGCTGAAAAAGGTAGATACGTTCAATTCAAATTTTGAAGAATATAATTTACAGAATATTCTGCAAGGGTATATCAACTTCGGCTCCGCCCGAAGTTAACTTTCCTTTCTTGTTTTTTATGAATTAGTTAAAACAAAGGATTGATGCTGGTTTCCGTGATATTTATTATGAATCCTCACATACTCAGCCCCCTCACCACGACAAGGTCTCAATCCACGAGAGGGAAATATTATAAAGCTTAATCTATATTGCACTTTATAAATAAAAAATTTATCACAATCTTTAAACAATAAATAATCTATTTCTATTTCACTTAAATATATACAATTCAAATAAATAAATAAGTTATTAAATTGATAAATAAATTAATAAAGAAATCTTAATATCTATACTTAAAAAAATTCCATCATGATGACTATAGCTCGTTTTGTATGTAAGAGCAACAGCATTCCCCAGCTCACTTTCAGCAAAAATCCAATCAATTTGCGTCAAATGTTTCGTGGTTGCATAATTATTGATTGGAATTAGATTAAATTGATTTAAAGCTTCCTCAAGTCGATCAGTGGTTGTGGATCTGCAAATATTAAAATCTCCTAAAATAACCAATTTGCTATTATTTTCTAAGCTGCGTATCCTTTCTACGTCCGACATAACTTCATTACGAAATTGTGCTATAGGAAACGTTGGATTCCTATAAACAACAATGAAGGATGTATTAAGATATTTGAAGGCAATTGATTGGTATATAGTTCTTGAGCTCAAAGACTTATTTGTCTCAAACAAGAAAACTACATTTTCGGCAATATTTTGTTTGGCATAAATCATAATTCCATTTTTGCCAATACCATTCAATCGATTGCTATCAATTCTTCTTATTATGTCGAAACCTTGTGAAGAAAAGTCTTCGCTGGGAAGAGTCCAAGTTTCGACAAAACAAAGAAAATTTGAACAACAAATAATAGGGTCGTTAAAAATATCTTCGCGATGGCTTCGAAGAGACTCAACGTTATGGTAATAAAGGGAGATGTCTTCGTTTCTGTTAACCACAAACTCATAATGCGTAGTCAAAAACTTTTCCTCTCTTAACTTTTTAAGTTCGTCTTGGACATTTTGAGCTCCAAATCTTGTTGGAGGAACAAAGTCGCCTAGAAGAAAAAGTCCTGATGCGCTAGTGGCTCTGCTGCATCCAACATACAACGAAGCTCGCTTGATGCCTCTTTTAAGATGCACGGCGACTTTGCTATATGTTGCTCCTTGGCTTTTGTGGATGGTAATAGCCTCAGCAGGAACAATTGGAAATTGTTTTCGGTCAACAGAAGCATGCTCCGATCTTCCACATTGAAAAACTCGAGAGGCTTTTACTATTGGAGTCCATTCGGGATCGGGACTATTCCGAACCTTTGATCTGGCGATAGTGCCAACCGTGGGTTCAAATCCAAAGTCGCGTTACTAAATTTAAGCCATTCACTAAGCAATGGTCAATTAGCATCAGCTGACCAGTTGCTCCATTTACAAGTCCGTCACTTGTGTCTATATTGACGGTCACCATATATTTAGCAGTTGTTTTGAGATGAAGAACATATGGCAAACCCTGTGTTTCAGAGGTTTTCATATTTTGAGCATATCTTAACGTGTTTTCCCTGTTTCGTGTAGATATGTTCGCAGTTTTCACTGTATCAACAGCAGTGGAAACCAATTCTTCCGTCCCAATTTGCGCTAGTTTTAGGGAATTGTAATTATTAACTTCTTCGTTAGAAGAAAATAAATGAATGGCATCATCAGGAACTTCGCTGGGTGAAACCACTCTTTGTTTAAGGAGCTCTATATCTGCTATTGTCATGCAAGCCTCAGATAAATGATTTAGGGCTTGAGCAAATGCATGGTCGCCTCTTTGGCGCATTATTTCTGTGAGCTCAAAATACTTAAAGTTGTTCCATAAGCTATTTCCTGCTAAAACGCTATAAGGATTAATTGTCCTCTCCGAAAATATCCAACTGTCTCCAACTGGGGAAAGCTGCTTTAGATCTCCAAAAACTATAATTGATTTTCCACCAAAACTTAAGTCAGGGCTTCGGAATATTTGACGAAGCCGTTGATCCAAAAATGAAAGCATTTTAGAACCAACCATAGAAATTTCATCAAGTATAATCAGTTGGAGATCAATCAACTTGCAATGAATTGTATTTAAACTATCATTGCTTAAAGGTCTTAAGGGACCTGAAGCCTGATTAATTGGAAGAGAAAACACTGAATGTAGAGTCAGTCCTCCAATTCCAAAAGCAGCTTTTCCAGTCGGAGCACATAATAAAACCTTTGCTGAATCCGTAGCACCAGGAAGCTTATTTGCTCGCCAAGTCACAGACTGATAGATGGTAGAAATCAGTCTGCTTTTTCCCTACACCGGCCCCTCCACCAACATATTCGTAAAACATATTTTTACTAACAACATTATGCATCACATGTGCATAATATAGTCTTTGTTTGTAATTAAGGGACCGAGTTAGCGAGCAAAGGTCATCATTGGAAACTAACGGGGGAGTCTAATTAATTGAAGTTCGCCGTCTTCTTCAGGGTTGTTTATCGCATTGTCCTCCTGAAGAATATTTACGTTCCGCTCTATATTTGGTACAGCCAAAGCTCTAAACTCTTCGTCTAAAAATTGTGAGGCAGGTTCTTCCGCATCAGGAGCATTATCTCCCCTATCCTCTTGCAAATCTTCCAGAACTCTTTCTAACTCCATATCATCAAACACATCATAGTTCCTTTTCATTATCTTAATGGCTTCATGGTTTACTCGGAATGTGTTTTCAATGTCGTTGGAAAGAAGTTCAGCTTCTTCATTTCGCCAAGGATAGAAGAGCATTAAATGCTCTCGGAAATAATCGCAAGGTGAAGAGTTTATGCTAAAGCGAACCCACCTTAGAATC